CAATTTAAATTCATTTTACACTTTTGTTGCTACTGTTATCATTGTAATTGCAGCTCCTGATGAGGATGGCAAAGTCCATTGAAAGCTAGAGAGGATAAAAAAAGTATAAAGAGTCCTCCACCTAACTGGTCTAGACGACCATGACCACGTCTCAAGTTATATATATATATTATAATTCGTTGATATTTCCAATGTAAATAATGTTAGTAAAATTATTTTCTTTAAACCCACGGGTAAACGTCAAAAAACGTCCAAACCTATTGTTATAAGAGGGAAACTTCTATCCATGTTTTTGCAAAGTTACGTTATTCATTCATGACTTTTCTGGCCTATTTTACTTTGATATGGTTTTATTGATGTCTTTACTGATGTTACTTTACTTGGTCATGGGAGGTCTGCTGTTTCCTTATACTTCTAATTGATTACTTTTGTAGTCTGTTGTTTTATTGCATATTTACCAACAGATGCGTACAATTGACCGAGGCTTTTTCCAAACTTACTACCCTTAAGCACTTCATAACACTTCCATACCAAAAATCATGAAACATAACGAGATAGTAAGAGATTCACACAACGAAATTTCTTCTAATTTGGAATAAGACATCCAGACAATAATATAATCATTTTTTACCTTATCATGTTAACCATATTATTGAAACAGATAAAAATGTTCAAAAAGGTACATTACAAACTTGCTCCATTTTTTTTTGGAGTTTCAGAATGTCATCAGTTATTTTTTTCAAGGGCCAGTTAATTGACTCTCCTTTTCTAAGTAAATTTAAAGTCCACCTATTTTTCAGTAATCATTGGCATAGCTAGAATTTGTTATTTCACAGCTGACTAGTGAGTTTCAACTAGTATTTTAATTCCAAACAATAGACCTTCATTTGAAGCAAATATGTTGTAAGCAAATTTTTATATTTTGTAATGAAAGGTGAACTTTTTCATCTATGTTCTGATTTAAAACATAAATTGTAGGCTGGTGCCAAAAAAATCTTCCATGTCATTCTATTTAATTCAAATATACAGGTATATCTTTTGAAATGGTGTGATAAATGTAAGATCACAAAGGGGCGATTAAAACTCTCAAAGTTTTATAGGTATGTGGGTTGTAAAAATTATTAACAGATGGTGTCAAATATTATCACAGAATTCGAATGTTTACTGAACATCCTTTTGGATTGAAGTCATTAATATACATATACCGAGTCTTTTAAATATTCACCATTGGAATCTCAGAAACGGTGAGAGATACGAAGTAGCTCTAATGGGGAGAAAGTTGCCAATTTATGTAACTAACATAGTACCGCTTAGAAAGCTTCAAAATTCCAGATACTTCTGGAGAGATACGGAAAAAAAAAACGTTTTCTTTTTTCCTGGCTTTATTTGTACTAGGATTTAAAAATAAATTGCATATTAACATTCCCTCTTTTTCTCCTGTACAAGACGGCATAATAAAAATTTCAATATGATGTTTAATCTATTCTCCTCCAGCATCAATTTAATTTTTTCTTAAGGACGCCATATTTTTTCTCAGATGAATAGAGCCTTTAATCGTGATTCCAAAAATGTATATGTCATATATTGATGTATATGTCATATATTGCCTTAGTTATTTAAAAAACGGAATTTCTTAGGTAGGCCTTGAAATTATCAACTGCCATTTGTTTTGTATACAAGATTTATAACAAAATCATTTTTATTTTTTCCTGACTTTATTTGAGACGCAATTTCGAAATAAATTGCATGTTTTCATTGTCACTTTTTCTCCTCTACAAGATGGCGTGTTCAAATTTTCAATTAGAGGTTTCTTCTTTTGGCTTTTATCGCCAACTTTGTTTTTTTCGTATTGGAATTTCGTACATTTAAATACTTTAATTAAACATGTGAAGTTTGTCATGACATAAATAATTGTATTACATTCATAATTAAAAGCAGAATCAAAAATTGTGTTTGCGCAAAATTTCAGTAGAGTTCATAAGAAAAAAAAAAGTTGAAGAGAAAAACGTCTAATTGAGAATCTGAATACGAATAACGAGTGGCAATGCTAATATGCAATTTATTTTAATATCCCATTTGAAATAAAACCAGGAAATAAACAACGATTTTTCAATAAATCAGGTGTATGAAACAATCTGATAATTTCAAAGCCTACCTAGGAAATTCTGTTTCTTTTTTGAAATAACTAAGGTTTGGTAATGCTCATGTATGACATATTATACAGGGTGTTTCAGTTTATTGTTGCATAGCTTTAAGATTCGATAGAACTTTTAAAATTAATGCATAAAGTCTATATAAACATGGGTCGAAAAATGCGTGGCTTCCGAAATCCAGGGTGCTTAAATTTACTTTTTAAAATAGTTTTTTTTTAAATATTTCGAACAATATTTGATGTATAACAGTGAAAATTGGTATACAAGGGTTTTTTGGTACGACAAAACGAACCATGGGCATAGTTTTACTGTAGCCGCTAGAGGGCGCTCTCTACTGTACCTGTAGTGTATTAAAATGACCGAAAAATTTTTCTTAGTGCAATTTTTTGCTTTTTGAATAAAAATACTGATTCTTCGCACTTTTCAACATAAAAAAGTTCTCTTGTCAATTTTCGTTATAGTTAGCCGTTTTTGAGATATTTCGATTTTTAAGGTTTGATGCATTTTTAATTATTTATGGGAAAATAATATTTTTTTTACATTTTCGATTTGGGCGTTACAAGTAATTAAGATGATCGTTTAGATTGTGTTTTTAAACACAGCAATAATTCCTAACTCCAAATAAACAAAAAAAAAACAGAAAATTAATTTGTTTAATTTTCCAATATTATTTTTAACAAATTAAATTAATTATTTACAACAAAAAAGCTATTGGATAGTTAGGACAAACATACAACATCTAAATTAGTTGCTCGAAATGTAAACCCAATTGTTGAATACACAATTCACAACTACGAATGATCGAACGTGGTATAGCATTATTCAAATAAGGCCTTATTTCATCACATGCATTCCTGATTCTGTCTATTAGCATATATCTTGTGGTTATGGGAGTCTGGTACACTTTTTCTTTTAGAAATCCCCACACAAAGAAATCTAATGGATTTAGGTCAGGGGATCGTGGAAGCCAGGCGACTGGTCCTCCACGGCCGATCCATCTTTCTGGATAATTTTCGTCCAGCCATTTTCTAACTATTCTTGAATAATGAGTTGGACAACCATCAAGCTGGAACCAGGCCAATCTTCTTAAATCTAACATAACATCATCCCACATATTTGCATGTTCAGCCTTTAAAAATTCCAAGAAGGTCGCAGCATTTAACCTTGCAGGCAAAAGGTAGGGTCCAAATAGTCGATTACGGTATGCTGAAAATTTCTTTCCTGAACTGCATGCGGATTTTCATGCGACCAAATATGTTGATTATGGAAATTTACCACTCCACGTCTAGTGAAGCATGACTCATCGGTCCATAAAACGTTACTTAAAAACTCCCTATTATTATCAGTTCTATCAAGAATCCACTGAAATGTGATTCTTCGTTCTCCGTCCCCTGGCTGTAGTCCTTGCACAGGTTGCAAATGGTAAGGACGTCTATGGTCATTTCTAAGAACACGGTGAACATGGCTTGCTGAAATTCCCAAGGCACCAGAAACTCTCCTAACACTTGTGGTCGGATCTCTATCAAACTCACGCAGAATAATACGGGTAAATCTACACTGACGAACATTTATGTTTTGATCCCTTTGGAGATTTCCAAAACCATTTTCAATTATTTGGCGATGCACTCTTACAAATACTGAGCGAGTTGGATGTCGTCTGTTTGGAAATCTTCGTGCGTATCCTCTGGCTGCTTCTGCTGCGTTTCCATTTACAAAGCCATACACAAAATGAATATCCGCTAACTCTTGATTGGAGAATAAAAATGGCATTTTTATAAAACTTACAAAAAAAACAGGTAAAAGAAACTAAATTTCGTGCATTCACAATTGCAAAAAAACGTTTCAGGTTTCAACAGACAACAAAACTAACTGTCAACTAATTGACGTTTAACCTTATTCTGCTTTCAATTTCAAAAATATTTGCAGGCACAGCCTACTTCTAAAAATTATCGAGATATTGACTTTTTAACGTTATTTTATCATAAATAATTAAAAATGCATCGAACCTTAAAAATCGAAATATCTCAAAAACGGCTAACTATAACGAAAATTCACAAGAGAGCTTTTTTATGCAGAAAAGTGCGAAGAATCAGTATTTTTATTCAAAAAGCAAAAAATTGCACTAAGAAAAAATTTTTGGTCATTTTAATACACTACAGGTACAGTAGAGAGCGCCCTCTAGCGGCTACAGTAAAACTATGCCCATGGTTCGGTTTGTCGTACCAAAAGACCCTTGTATACCAATTTTCACTGTTATACATCAAATATTGTTCGGAACATTCAAAAAAACTATTTTAGAAAGTAAATTTAAACACCCTGTATTTCGGAAACCACGCATTTTTCGACCCATGTTTATATAGACTTTATGCATTAATTTTAAAAGTTCTATCGAATCTTAAAGCTATGCAACAATGCAACTGAAACACCCTGTACTATATAGCGTCGATTAAAAAAAATAAAGTTGATGCGGACAACAGACGAAACGTCATATTGAAATTCTAATTATACCTTCTTGTGCGAGGAGAAGTGACAATGATAATGTGCAATTTATTTCGAAATCCAGCTACAAATAAAAGTAGGAAAAAATAAAACGGCTTTGGAAAAATTCTGTTTTTCCGTCTCTCTTCGTAAGTACTTTGGATTTCAAAACTTTCCGTTGGTTACCTAAAAACTTTGCCCATATTTAAGCCGCTTCGTATCTCTTACCGTTTCCGAGATCTCAATGGTGAGGATCGAACTTGAAACACCCAGAATGTTTTCTTTATTCAGACATCACTTTTCCACCACACTAGAGTACATTTCTGTTACTATTTGGCACACGAGCCACAGACTCACTATTATGACCTTCAAAAAACAAACCAAGGAACCATAAAACACCCAATCAATACCAATGCCGACCGAGCATAAGGGAACGTCTTAACGTGACAGTAGCGGCGCCAATCCATTAACCCGTATGATGTTTGTAGAGCCATGAAGTTGGTATGAAGACCCTGGTCATGCTGGATGAACAGGGCGGTAAGCATTTATTTCATACTCTAACTAATCAATCAGTTTATTAAAAGTGAATAATAATAGCCCAGTCGTCAGGTCACAGCCATGATTCTTACCTTTTAACGAACAAATAGAGAAAAACTGCACAGTCTTACCGCTCGACCAACTTGACATATGAACACATCCAGGGAATGAATAAAACAGAAACAGCTCCAGGTTATTGAAAAGAGTGGTCGAGCGTGTGGTAAAACCGTGTAGTTTGTGACTTCGCTGCAACAAAAAGATCAAATATATAAAAAAGGAAAAGATCGACATAAACAATTTTTAATCACTACTTTCGGAACATAGATACTACTGATTTAACTCAATGTGAACATTGCATGTCCCTTTTTTCAACAGCCTGTCTCTGATTGTTTCATGGTGTGTATGGAGATGACAAAAACAATGTTATCAGTTTCTTTTTTGTCCAAAAATCCATTTTTAAGCATTTTTTCTTCAGTCGTAACTTGCATTAATAGTACAGCACTAAAATTTGTATGTGAATATTCCACTTTTATGGAATAATTGAGCGATACGGGTATTATGTAAAAAACCTATAACACGTGAAAAAAAAACCTTAATGGTGGATTTCACAATTTAACAAACAATTACTCGGCACCAATGGAGTACGAGTACCAAACAGTCCGTTAAATATACCCAATCAGCCTCAAGATCTCTCCGTCAAATTTTTGGCAGCAAATAGCATCAAGGTATTCAAAACAAAACACTGTAAAATATGAAGTGACAGTTTGCCATTGAAATCTTTTCAGTTTATTAAATATTATGAAATTATGTAAAACTGAGCCAAATTTTTTAAAAATGCTTGATGTCTGAGTAAAATCTATTTTTTCAGATTAGCTGAAGGCTTTTCCGTGTTTATTGCAACTTTTGTAATCCATATGTGATTATATCACCTACTGTGTGCTTATAGTTTATCCTATATTTGCAAACTTGCACTTCCAAATCCTTACATGAACAATCCTTTTCACTCAAATTTTTGTTAGGTGTTGCATTTCAACACGTTCATACACTTCTTTCCAGTTCCTCAACGATATTTTAACCCTACTGGTCCGAAACTGTTCAACAGTTTCAACATTCACACATACAATTGCAGTTGCAGTTTTTTGTTTTAATTTCAGTGTATAATCAGTCGCACCAACGGTGACGGTACATGGTACATTCAACATAACCACGTATTTAGGGGTTAGTGCAGATTTAACGTGTACACGACAGTGTAATTTGCATTTCTTCACAAAAAAATCTTGGAGGGAGCACTTTTATACGGAAATTTGTTGTTAAAAAATTCCATTGTCCACACATAACAAAACAAGTGATCACAAAACATAGAATTCAGTGACGTTGGAGAAGGAGAATAGATCAAAGGAGATCGGAATTGACATTTGAAATTAGTGTCTCATAATGTTAGTGGTTATATTTATATTAGACATTATTTGAATACAGCTGATTGTTGCTTTTCAAGAAGTGACACATGTGTTGGATCTGTCAACTCTTGGTACCAGTCACAAAACATATTATACCCTGAAGGTTTAATTCCATGCTATTCAATGACAACACGTGTCTTGTGTGGTTATCAGCGGCCATTTTGTGAGGGTGCGACAGGGTTGCCAGATTGTGCATTAATATCCCGTTTCACGCTCCTGGTCCCAGTAGAGTAAGTTCCTCCAACTGTTGAAATATACTCTACTATGCGTTATAAGACTATTCGTGACATTTTTCCCAAAATCATTGCACAACACTTGAAAAAATGCAAATGAAACTTTAAAATTATTTCCATGACGCCGCAAAATAGCTCCGCCTATATCAGCGAAGCCTTACCAATTTCTGACGCATTAGCCTAATGCTTTAAATGTTATACGAGGGCCGCGCTATATATTTTGAGATAGACGAAAATTAAAAACTATTTTCCGAAAACTAGTTTATTTATGTTACAACTGAATCTTCTCTTAGAGAAGTACATTATAATAATGTCAGTAGTTCTTCTGGTTTACAAATTACCAATTTGTTTGCCGAAAACTTACAGTGTAATAGTAATCTTTCTTATGGGGTCATCAATTTGTTTAACTACGAAATTCCAATCTCAGCCATCTATGAAAAACTGACGCTAATAAAGGACCTGGACCTGATGAGGCACCTCCTTTGTTGATTAAACATTGTAGCTTTCTGATTTCTAGACCTCTATTTTATATTTTTAATCTTTCGTTGAAAACTGGAACTTTTCCGGAATGTTGGAAAACAAGCTTCATTATTCCAATACTGAAATCTGGAGATCCTTCACAAGTCAAAAATTATCGACCTATCAGTAAACTGATATGCATTGGAATGCTATTTGAGAGCCTAGTGTGTGAATTTTTATCCGCACATTTGCAAAGTGGTTTTATAAGCCAACAGTTTGGATTTCTTTCAAAACGCTCCACAGAGTTAAATCTTTCAACACTCGCAAACTATACTAAGTGACATATAAATCCGAACACCCAGTTTAAATGGTTTTATTTTAATAAAATTTTGTATAAGTACTTAATGAAGCATAATAAGTAAATGATAAAAATTTCAAAATGATTGCACTGCTTTAAAGCCCTTTGACCTTTAATAATGTGTGGATGCACCCTGATGTGCTACGCATTCTCCAACGCGCCTAGGCATGCTTCTGATCAGGTGGTCAATGTCCTCCTGTGGTATCTCATTCCAGGCAACCACCAACTCCTCTCCTTTCACCACGTCGCCTTCTAACCCTGGCACGACCATCGTGCATGCCTAAACAAAATCGAGACTCGTCACTAAAGACAATACTGTTCCATTCCTGATCCCAGAGTGACCGTTGTCTGCACCACTCAAGGCGATTACGTCGGTGTTCTCGAGTTAAAGGGAGGACCCAGTGTGGCCGGTATGAAAACAAGCCAAAACTTCTCATTCGTCGGTAAACACTTCGCATGCCAATAGGTCTTCCGTGTTCTGCAAACCATTCATTTGCAATGGACCTGGTAGTGGAGAAACGGTCCCTTAAGGCCAATAATCTTAGGCGGCGATCTTCACGGTCTGTTGTTCTACGGCGGCGTCCAGTGCCCCTTGCTCTTTGTGTACGGCCTTCTCGAAGCCATGCCTGACAACCACAGTGTCTACACATCTTTGCACTCTAACTGCAATTGCCCTAAAAGAAAGTCCAGCTTCCCGAAGCAGTATAAAAACCGGAATGCCCAACTGATAAGGCTGAAAATTTTTTCACTTGTTATTTACAGTAAGATAAATACATTCACCAACTTTTATTAAAATAAAACCATTTAAACTGGGTGTTCGGATTTATATGCCACTTAGTATATGTTTGGGAATCCTTGGAGGAAGGTTATTCTGTTCACGTAGTTTATACAGATTTTTCTAAAGCATTCAATAAGGTCAACCATGAGATCTTGATTAATAAGTTACATTGTCTAGGAATTTGCCTGGATCTTTTATCATGGCTGAAGTCTTACCTTACTGACCGAAAACAAATAGTGCGTATTCAATCACATGAGATTAATGTGCCATCTGGAGTACCTCAAGGTTCCCATCTGGGTCCTCTTCTTTTCAATATATTCGTGAATGATATTATATACTGTTTTAAGTCTGTTAGTTTTCTAATGTTTGCAGATGATTCAAAATTATTCTTAAAAATCAAACAATAATGATTGTTTAAATATCCAAAATGATTTGAATTCATTAAGTCTCTGGTGTCAAATGAATAGAATGGAACTTAATGTGGAAAAATGTCATTTAATGGTCTTCAGCCGTAACAGGGCCCCATTGATCATACTTATGCCATGAAAGGTTGTCCTCTAAAGAGTGTATATCCCAAGTTACGGACTTAGGGGTAATTCTTGACCCAAAATTATCCTTTATTACCCATATAAATATGATTGTTACTAAATCTCTTCAACTGTTGGGATTTATAAAACAATGTGCTAAGGATTTTGATAATATTCAGTCATTTAAAACGTTGTTTTGTTCGTTGGTGAGGCCCCATTTGGAGTATTGTTTTTGTGATTGATCACCCAACTATAATGTTCATATTCAGGCAATTCAGTGCAACATAAATCCTTAAGATTCATTTCATTCATTAAAACATTATAATTGAAGATGTTATCTATTCCGTCATTGAAAGCTCTCTCAATAGCTCAACCCTTCAGGTAAGATGGAATCACTATTTTATAATATTTTGCACTCTATTAGTTTTGCTCCAGAACTTTTGAAAAATATTAATCTCCATGTGCCTTCTGATCAAACAAGACTGAATCAACCATTCCATGTGAGATCATTTCGTACTAATTACGCTAGTAATTCCTTCCTGTCTAGATCTTCAAGGTTGGCAAATCAGTATTCTAATAAATTGGATTTCTTCAGAAGTCAGAAAACATTCAAAATTCAATTTGATCCCTGTCTGTAATATAGAAATATTTGATTTCCCCTTATATTTAAATTTCAATTAAATTCGTTTTAGTCTAGAAATGATCTGGATTGTAAAGTGTTTGTGATTGTTTTAAGTGTTAAATATCTAAGTCAAAGTAGGGTTAGGTTTACATTATATTTTCTGTGCTGTACTTTAATTGGGCTTGTTGATAAATAAATAAATAAAGTATTCAATGCACTTCTGTAATCTGACCTTCCACAAATGAAATGCTTCTAACCAGTCAGTTTTTGGAATGTCTTCAACAAACTGATTAATTGCTTGATCGATTTCCTCTTCGTACAAAAATTTTAGACCACGCAGATTTTTTTTTCAAATTGTTTAAGAGCCTGAAGTCACACACTGCCAAATCTGACGAATAAGGCGGATATTCTAGCATGAACCGCTGAACTTTACTCACACTAGCACATAGTCTACCACACTAGTTAATGCGCATCTCAAAATATACAGCGTTCCCCTCGTACACACTATGTGAAGGATGTGGTCATTAAATGTCACTATAGCGTCGAAAACGACAACGAAATCCTTC